GAAAACACACAGCATTGTAAGTGCTATTGAAGTGTCAAGGATATTGTAAATGTCTTCTACAATTTAAAAAATGGTGAACCATCTAAAAATGCCTTTCATGACCAAAATGGTCAAATTGATTATTTATTGTTCAGAAACCTTTTCTTAAAAAAAAAGGGGGGGGAGTCTCTTTCTAGTCATAAACAATTGGATGTGTCAAACATTATTTAATTTGTTAAACTTACAGATATGTGGTTTGTCACTGAACGGGAGCCATCCCCTCTAGTAAAATCCTTCGTTGGTTGCCCTAGCCGGTTTGGCTCATTGGATAGAGCATTGGCCTGGGGACTAAAGGGTCCCAGGTTCAATTCCGGTCAAGGGCATATACCTTGGTTGCAGGCACATCCCCAGTAGGGGGTGTGCAGGAGGCAGCTGATCAATGCTTCTCTCTCATCGATGTTTCTAACTCCCTATCCCTTTCCCTTCCTCTCTGTAAAAAATCAGTAAACTATATTTTAAAAAATCCCTCCATGGTTAAAGAATAATCTATAATACAACTAAGGGTTGTATTATAAGAAAAATGAGTTTAATGCCATATGCTTGGTGCATTCTTTAGCTTAGGTTTCACATTTTCAAACCATCTCAATGTTCCCCAATCGCCTGCTACTCAAGTATGATCCTTCGTCCTGGACCATAACCTTGACCTACATGTTAGTGAGAGCCTCGGGTGTGTGCAGTAAGGTCTGAGAAGCACTGTCCTACACACAATGCCATCTCATTTACTCATCCAGTTTTAATTTATTACGTGCAGAATGAGTGTAAACCCATGATGTCAAATGACTCTTTTGAGGCAAGTAAAGGCATAAGGCTTACTAACCACTTCTGTCCCCAAGAGATAGACTCAAATTACATCTGACGTGCAAGTGACATTTTATAGGTGGGCCAGTGCAATGACGACATATGTCACGTGGTCTCAGCAGACTGTCACCTGGCCTCAGTGGATTCTTGAAGAGTGTTTATCTGACTGACAAGCGCTATGTCTGGTCTGAGTCATTTGTAATCAGGACTCTACTTGCATGATTTATTGAAGAACAAAAAACTGTGCAGTGCTATTAGCATTTACTCTTCAAAGGAGAGAGGAAATGGAGACTGAAAGAATAAAATCTAGTCTGTTTTTGAGTCCTCCGCAGGAAGCTCCCAGGCATGATAGTAACCCACGGTGAATAAAACTTTCCTAAGGGGGGAAACAGCTGCTCCAGGGGCTCTAAGTAAGTTCCTACCTAAAAAACAGTAGATGCTAACTGTCCTGACTTGCCAAGATTTTAGGGCCTGAGAAACAATGAACCAATGCTTGAGGGTGACAGAACTGACTTGGAAAGTTCCTCAGCTAACAGCCTCTCGAGGCAATACTCACGGGGAGTGAATGCAGTGCTCAGGACTGGACCTGGGGACTCTCATTATGTACCCCAATTGTAAATCTTCCACCTGCCTGAGCTGTGTCCTCTGCAGGAAGCAAGTAAGTCCCTCCGCCCAGG